TCCCTCTTTTAGCGCCGATTTTCCCTTCCTCCACTCTTGCTTTTATATTTCTTGTCTTCGCCTGCCCTCTAAAGGCCAAAGGGCTTTGCGCTCTGTATGTAAATGCCTGTGTGGTGTGAAACAGCCAGACTGCATCTGGCTGGTGCATCAGGCAGTAGCTTTCACTCAGCATGTGAATTTCCTCCCTCCGCTAGTAGCTTCAGAGCTTAGGTTATAGTGGGGTATTTTTGCATCAAACACACACGCACAAACACACACACAGAGGTTGGTGTAATTACCCTATGCTCTCATGTAATCCCCCAGGTGCAGTATTTATCTCCACTGCAGCATATCTGACACCCAGCGCCAATACCTGGATTCACTTCAGTCACAGTCCCTGCACCAAAACCATTCCTCAGGCGGTAGTCTCATAACACTGTGTTGTATACATGTATTACATTATAAGCAGCACGTGATGCTATTTCCGTGTCTTCTGTTATGTTGAAATGTGTAATTTAGCATTGGATATGACCATTGACATCTGTATCGAGTGCAGTAGAGTTGTGTGGTGGAACATTAGAGGGTGTCTTATGTCCTATGATGGATAATAAGGAGCGACTGATTCTTCTGTTCAGTCGATGGAACGAGTAAAAACAAATATGAAAAGGTGAAAGACAGGAGCTGACGCTTAATGGAAATAAGGCAGGTTATCATGCAAATGTGACAAACTGCAGACACTGTCACACAGTCAGTTGTGTGTTCTACAAACAAACATGCAGCCTTCAAACAGTCAGCCTCGCGGGCTTTCTGGCAAGCCGAGCCCAAGCCCGTGCTATGGTGGCCCCTTTCCTCCCCATCACCAGTGTCGTCACTTTGGTTGAAGCCTGTCTGTTAGTGGGGTTTAATGTGATGATGGTGGAGAATACTGGGGGGAAAAGCACACACGTTATCACTTTATTTTTTTGTTTTTATTCTAGTGCAAGATTTCTTTTGTCTGATTGTAAATTACAAATGTATTGTCTTATAATGCAAGTGATTCTTTGTATGGTTATTGTCCCCACATGTCCTTTTTCATCCAGTGTGCATTTCTTGCACTATTTCTAATATGATTTTTGCCCTCTCTTGTTCGTTTTTATGTTTTCTTTGCTCAATAGCAGCTTAAAGGTCATTGCATTGCAGCTAAAGAGGACTGCTGCTTTCATAGTCGATGAAAAGAGAAGAATTAAGTAGGAGTGATTGAATTGAACCTTGTATTTCCTCTTTACTTATTTCCACTTTAAGTTGAAAACACTCTACAAAGTGCTTGGGTTCATGGCACAAACTTACAGCCCACTTGTGGAGCTCTATTAAGCACTGAGTTTCTCAAAGGAACACACAACAGGGTATATTGTGAAAAAGGAAAAAAAGCACTACTTAGAAAGCCGTCCCTTATTTTTCATTTTATTTTATTTTATTTTTTAAGAGATAATATAGAAAATACAGAAAAGACAAAAGATCCCCACCCCTTCTTCAGCTAACATTTGAACGTCGACCTGAAACTTTCTACAATGTGTCAGGCCAGGGTTGATTTCACACATTACAGTGGATGAGTGTAATGGCGAAGACAGCTTGTTATAGAAACCTGGTGATTATGACCTGCTGTGAACAATCTCACTCTGTTTCACATACACCGCTCTGCTTCTTCTCCCCGCTCGCCTCCCCCCACCCTCCACCTTTCTCCTGTGGCCACTTTGATCAAATCTGCGCTCTTACGTCCTTGACTGCTGCCCCCGACGCCTGACCCCAGCATTCGAAATTTGCTCGCTTATGTAAAAGTTTATGTAGATTAATGCCACAATTTATGCAGATTGAGTTTTTGCCACTCAGACTTGAAGCACTAAAAGGTAGATGAGCGTTGACCTTCCCCACTAACGGCTACGTGAGCTCTCATCGATTATCTCATAACTGCTACAAACAGTGTAGCAGACAGAGGGATGAAGAGCAATTTCAAATTTCATAATGTTTCATTTTTAAACTTTTTTTTAAGTGTCGCTTAGAGGAGAGAGAAAAAAGGATGGCTTTTTATAAAAATGGAATCTGGGAGGCTTAGTAAGTGCGGTTTATGCAACACACGCACATGATCGTCCCTCCTTTAAAACATCATGCTTCCTGCAGCCCCACAGTGTCTGTCAAACAGAAACAACTGCCAGCAGTGGTATCGAGCAGTCTTTCAGCTGTCTGTGTGTCATTCCGAGCCTCCACAGAGCCGTAAACTTGCTCACAAGTGGCACCAGCATTGCCGAGGTTGAACAGTCAAGTGCCATCAAAAGCAGTTTGCCACAGAAATGGGTCTGTGTGAAAGCAAACAAAGGGCTCACACTTGACTCGACCCGCTCCACGTAGGCTAAATGCACAGGGGCTTGTCTGACACTGGAAAATGGCTTTCAGCCTGAACAGAGAAGCAGAAGAGTAGAGCGTAGAGGAAGGTGGAGGGAGGGGGGGGTGAATGTCACCATTATAACTTTGCTGGCTTTCTAAAAGGAGACGGAAAAAGTGTTACATTCAAGCAGAGACTGTCATCTTCAGTTTGAATGTAGTGAAGCATGTCTGAAAGGGCCATGTCAGGGTTATTGGAGGTGTTTTTGAATGTATAGAAATTCCCGGAAGCTACGAGCCTATATGGAGTGTTTGCAGCACAATAACAGATGTTATGGATTAATGCGTAACTTGAGTGGCGTTATTGTTACAAGCCACTTTTTTTATTTTTTGTATCACAAGCTTAACAGATCAATTTGCTGATGTCACAGTCACTAGTTAGTCATCCCCCCCAGTAGCACCCTGTTCTCTGATGAGCTCACTCACAGGAGCACATAAAAGGAAGGAAAAGCAGACCCTTCATCAGGTCACTAACCCTTACACAAACACAAAGTGACCCGCCAGTCAGAGAGTTGAGACAAGGTGTCAGCTGATGTTACTGCTGAAGTGAGCTAAAAGCCTCAGCTGGCAGTGAGTGCCACTGGGACAACAGCTGTTCATTTAAACTCTCTGCTTCACACACTGTTTTTTTTGTTTGGGGTTGGGGACTCTCCGTCACTGTATCTGTGTACTGTTAGTGCGCACACACAGAATGCACAATTTAGATCGGTTGCGGCGTCCTGCCGTTGACCCGTGTTGTCTCTTCTGCCTTATTTGATAATGACGCTGCAGTCGAAGGTAGCTTTGGCTGCATGTCAGTTTTATCTGTGCTACTGTTGTCACTGATGCTTCTGTTTACATTACACTCATTAACACCAAAGTCTCAGACCAAACTGCCACTTAAAAATATTTAAAATCGGATTTTTTTTCTACTGCACCGTAGCTTCAAGTACATGTTAACCTGTGTTTCTAATGTTCTGCCTTAATTTTTACAAAAGGACTTTCACATATGGAGACTTATGACAGTAGTGCCTCCCTAACTGTTGTCATTGTCGCTTTGAAGACTATGGAGTAATGTTTTGTCGTATCAGAACAAATAGTTTTAATTTGTGTTTTAAAAATAAAAAAAGTTTGTGTGATCTGATCCTGTACATCTCTGTCCCATCTTAGGATCTGTCCTTCTACGCCAGACGGATGGCCACGGTCGGGTCCCGCTGGATCTAGTCTCTGAGCCAAGTCAGAGGGAAGAGCTCCTCCATAGTGCACAGCTTGGAGACACAAAGTTTTTGAGAAATAAAGCAACTGAAGTTAACCTTCCCCTCTTGGAGGCTGGATCATCTCTGCTGTCCCTACTCATTTTCTCCTACCTCAGGGAAACGGGCATTCCTCACCACACACCAACCAGCGACAAGCGCCACAGCCTGGGCTACCGGCTGGTCAGGGCACTGGAGAGGCACTCCTTCCAAAAAGTGACCCAGGGCTGGGCAGACCAGCGGGCAGTGAGGCTGGTAGAAGATGTAGAGACATTGTGGGAGCTCAGCCAAGGGAAGTACCAGGGACAGGTGTCTCAGGGTGTAATAGAGTGCAAAGGAGAGAACACACAGTTCCTGATGAGGGTATTAGAGGATCTTAGGTCGCGAGGAGAAGCACTAGTAGGTGATCTGTAAGGTTAAAGGATCACTTTACACCTCACTGAAGCTGACTTAAATGCATAACCTGTGAGTGAAAGTGAACAAAAAGGTAACTTTTTATTACATGGTCCTAAAATTTGCCAGGGCCTTAAAATAGGTCCACAGGGCAAAAAATAAGTCTTCCTGTGGATATCTGCCTCTAAAGCAAGCATGCAAGTTCAAAGCTGTTCATTTCTTAAGTGCTACAATTTTATACCTACTAATACCTAATGTTCATTGGCTTGGTCTGTTTATATTGTATATTTTCTGGAGTTTTACAAGTTCTGTGTTTTGCAAATATTTCTTGAATTTAAATGTTATTTATTTTTAATATTTCAAGATGCATGTTTTTGTATGACACCACTAATGTTTTATTTCAGTGTCGAGTGTTGCTACCTCATGTTTTCTTTTTTCTTATTTTTTTTGCATGTTTATAAATAAAAGTAAAATATATTCTTTGATTATTTCATTACTTCACATAACAATTCTGGCAGCAATATATCAGATGTCTTAACAATATATAGATATGTCTTTTTTTTTCTTTGTAAAGAGCAAGTCAGCTGAAAGGTGCTCTGGAGATGGAGGTGTTTATATGTTGGCTACACAAAAAACAGTTATCCAGCAGTTGTGCTCTCAAATGGTCTCAGTGATGTACGCTCTGGGTTTCAGCCATGCAGGCACCAGTGAAGAATGAGGAGCTTCGCAAAGCTGAACCGAGCAGAGGGGCCCATGTGTTGGTGAGTGACCGGTGCAAAGGAGGCGACTTCAAGCTAAAACTGAGAGCAACAGTCCACATTTCATTCATTTCTTTCTACAAGCACCTTCGAAACAAAGCTCGTCAGTACAGAAAAAGGGGTTGCAATAAATCAGGAAAAACAAGATGATAAAAAATATTTTAATTTCATTAGTTTTTTTTAAATGAGTAAAATACATCAGATGCATTCCATTACTCATATCAGAAATATATACCACATTTTCATTTGACCCAACCCTGTCTTGGCTTCTACAGCGTTGCTGTCTGAAACTCTTATTGGTCAGAACTGGGCACATAAAGATGATGTCACAGGCAGGCAACATTGCAGGCGGAAAAAGACAGACCTTAGAAAATGAGGCAGGCATACACCTACTTTACAGCATCATCACCAGATCATTGACAGGCATACTGTATAAAATACAACCATAAATTAACAAGTAATTAGCTATGTACAGTACGGTTTAAAAAATAAATAGTCTCATTTCAACTTGGTGCAAATAAAAGTGCTTTTTTTTTTCTCTTTAAAACTGTCAACCTGATACATTCCTTTTCTATAACTCATCTTCTTGACATCATACAAAATAAAAACACTTTGGTTTGCTTTAAAACAGAGCCCAAACAAAATATAATGACGAGAAAAGGAGTGAGAGACAGTTTTTGGATGCAATGCCGCACAATAGTCACCACAATTTGCTGTAAAATGACTACATATAGTAGTAGACGCATACACATCAGGTATTCTAGCAATCCCTTTAGGCATTATACAAAGCCATCCCTCACGAGTCACAGAGTGGGTTTGCTGAGGAGGCTGTAATCAGTTAGCGACGTCGCTCTTAGGGGATAGTCTGTTATTGTCTTTCAAGTGGATTCCCTTAACAAAAAAAAGAAAAAGAAAAGCAGTGGTCCTTTGGAGTGACAGATCTGAGCCTGTTGATATTTAAGCATGGAGATGGATGGGCAAGGAAGGAGGGAGCGGAGAGAGTAGACAGACGAAGTGAGAGGGTGACAAAATAGCAGAAGAGAGCTAGTTGCGGTGGGAAGAGAGTTTAGAGTATAAAGGCAGAGACACAGACAGACACAGGGGGGTGGGGGGGCAAGCAAAGCTAAAGAAGTAGAGGCTGAGAGATGGAGGCAGGGATCAATAGGATGAGAGCAGACCTCCTCAAATGTAGCCTGTGCTGTGATCTTTCAAGAGATGCTCAGCGAGAAGCCCAGGAGACCATCCCTTAAGACAGGGTCGCAACCCCGCTCACTGACGAATGAGGGAACCGCAGAGAGAGCAAATGGAGGGAAGCATGACGGGAAGAAGGATCTGAAATAGCATAAAACACACACATACACACATACACTCCTCCTTCCCTGACATCTCAGGCCTAAGTCCCCTTGGAGCCTTGTCACACAATGACTTGCTGCTCATCTAGCATCTAAGCAAACTCTACACCAAGTAACAGCTGGCACTTCTGCTGCAACGCACACACACACACACACAGCGACTGGATCTAGGCATCAGTCTACAGCTGGAGGGGAGATACAACTGTAACGCACACCGACACTAAGAAAAGCAACTCGTCTTTGATTGCATAAATGCGTATACGCAAACACTCTTACAGACACAGTTCACATATACAAGCCTCTGTCTCTGGAAAGACTGATCAAAGTTGAGCTTTGGGCACAGGAGGTGGGGCAGATGGAGAGGGCGGCCAGCCTGGGGCACAGCATCACAGAAAGCATGTTTGCGTTTGTGTGTCAGTTGTTGGTGCGCGTGTGCCTGAGAGCGGGGAGAATGTTCCTGTTCCAATACAATGTTTTTCATCTGTCAGCGTGTAGGTACAGTAAGGCGTGCGTGTTCGAGATCTCTGAGAGGAACTGCGCGTTTACGCGAGAGGAGGATGTTTGTGCCTCCGAAACACAAGATGCTTAAGCGCAGAAGCATGTGTGCGTGTGGCCGTGAACGCGCTCGCGTGTGGCCACCGAGGAAAACACATGGGGGAGATGAGAGGGAAGGAGACCAGCCTTTCAAACAAGATTAGAGCTGCGGCTGCCTCAAGGCCCGGCTGCCTGACGACACTCTGCATAAACTGGGTGACATCTATATTAACACCACGACGGCGGGCCCAGTCTGCCGTGCCGCCTGACAGAGAGAGGAGGCGACTCATTGAATGACAGAGGATTTTGACATGGTTCAAATGAGTCAAACAAGGCAACAGCTACTGATAAAGTTTTCAGGTGTAACACTAATTGTTTACTACAGACTCAGACCTAAAAAAAAAAGGAAGTTAATCTGGCCATTGTATTAAAGCACAAACAAGCCTTCAGCCTGTTGATCCAGGTTTGTGTTTGTGTAAAAGGAGATATCTGGAGGCTACCACCGTAATTGCTAATCAACTTGGCTGGCTGAGTTAAGTGGAGACAGTCCAAATTACTGCCAGTGAAAGTAACACTGCCACATCCAAGAGGGAAAGGAGAGAAAACAAAACACACTTCAGTAGAAAAACAATTACAAAATATAAACATATTAACAAAATCATTCAATAACTTAAACGGGAGCTTAAAGAAAGAAAGAAAGAAAGAAAATTGAATGCGGTATAAGGCTTCTCCCCTGATAAACACACCAAGTGTCATTTTCTTTTTTTGGAACAGCGAGAATAAATGTTAAACTAATTTTACTTATTGTGTGACACTTGTGGGAAGCTGTCAGAGTGATGGAGAGAAGCAGCAAGGAGAGTGGCTCACACGGCTGATGTAAAGGTCATTTCATCCATCCTTTCCACTTGCCTTTAAAAAAAAATCTAAAGCATTATGGTTACGGTAATAATTTAAGAGGTTTCTCGTACTCATTTTGTTTCATACAAAAAAGGACATTTTGGGAAACGACTGTACACCATGAGTAATTAAATAGGAAAAACGAGTTGAAGAGAATTAAACAGGAAATAAAAACAAAAATGTTAAAGGATAGCTGAGCCGAGCTGCTCCAGAGGAGTCGTCCTCTTGTTCCTCGGTGTCCAGTAATAGACCGAGTGAGGAAAAGTGGAGAAGAGAGGAGTTGGTGGGCGGACGCAGTCATCTACCCGGGGTTGTTTTTCTTCCTTTTATTTGGACTGGGATTGGGATCCAATTTCAGCTCTCGGTACTGCACCTGTTAAAACACATAGAAACACGCACGCACACACACCACCCGGTCAGGTGGAAAGAGCAAAGGATGCTTGAATAGCACAGAAACCCTCCAGAGGCTCTAGTCCAGCTGTGTGGAACAGTGGCCTCAGGGAAGAGATTACACACTGATTACAGCGCGCGCACACACAGATGCGGACGCTCACACGCGCACACACTGACACGATACGTGTGCGCTGTTCAAAGCTCCGACTGCGTGCTCGCTCGCAGATGCACACAAATACACACGTACTTTCACAGATGTGCTACAGTGGCCTAGGGGAAGGGATCACACAAACAAACAAAGAACAGGGCAAGGGCTCATGGGAAAGCTTGGAGAGACAACAGAGTCATTTTGGTATAGCAAGATGGCGAGGAGTGAAAGGGCAGGAAGATGGGAACGAGACAGAACGAAGGAAAAAATGCACCATAACCCGTTCAGAACCAAGGTTTGAATAACTGTTAGCAATATTAATACACTCCTCATCCTATGTAGCTTGATACATACTGCTTTTATATCAGAAGGATTATATGACTTGCTACTAATTTAGGGATAAAGTTACATTTTGATCAAAAGGAGCCAATTAAAAATATCAGCAAACTAAATTCTCTGACCAAATTTTGACTCTTTGCTGTATCCTTTTCTTGGCTGAGAGATAAATGAGCACTCTGGAGATTTTCGTGGGACAAAATACAATCTCTTCTCCATGTTTCACTCTATAATCAAAGCTGTATCAGTCACAGCCAGACATCTGACATGGAGAGCTTTCCTCCTTCTCAGGAATGAGTGGACAGTATGGATGACATCTACCTGATGAGGCTCCTGCTTCTGGATGGGCTTTCCTACGCTTATCCCACGTCAGCTGTTAAGTGCAGAACAGCGACATCGTCTAATAACATGACTAAGAAGGCAAAAGGACGATTTTACTTTAAGTAAAGCCCCAATCTGTTGCACATCTGTATACATCATGACCCTATTAGGCCACAGCTGGAAGAAGCTGTTTTATATTTTGGGATATCAATTTATTTGCTTTCTTGCTGAGAGTTACACGAGAAGAGCGATACGGCTGTCACATATGTCAGCTAAATAAGGAGCTGTAGCCAGCATCTGGTTAGCTCAGCTGAGAGAAAGAGAGAAACAGCTAGTCCGGTTCTGCCCAAAGCTAATAAAATTCACGTAGTGAACAGATGAGATTTTACAGCTGGTTTTGCTGTGGATCATTTCTTGATCAGGAGCAGCGACCTCCTGGAGTCTTGTTGTCACCGTTTTAAAATTTGTTTTTTTGTACAAATGAAGTCAACGAGATATAATGTCTTCATTGTGTGCTTTGGAGGTGCTGGCAGGCACATTTTGTTACCTTTGGCAAGCTCTAAGCTGTTCCTATTGTTTTATACCAAACTGAGCTGTGCAAATCATATGTCTGTGCCAGTTAATGGACACATATGAGAATGGTATCGGTCTCGTCACTTTTTTTCACAGCAAGAAAGGGAAAAACAAAGCTTTTCTAAAATGTTAAACTACTCCTTAATCCTATAAATTACCAGGACATTATTTTTGTATCTGCACTGCATCGCTAAACCACTTTAAACAGACATTTTAGTTGCGTATTGCCTCACTTCATCACTTCATAAGATGCTTAGCGTCATCACTCAGGGAGTGTCACAGTATGTCTCAGCAACAAGAATTGATTCACTCTTGACAGAATCCTTTCCAAAGATGGTGAGCCGATCCTAGAAACTGCTCTTACGTGGAAGTGATGGACAGTCAGATGCAAACGGCATCACAGTGGCTGAGTATCAACAAACTGAGGCTGTCACACTCGCTTTCAAATGTGCACATCCGTGCATGCGCGCACAAATGCAGTTGCTAGTCTAGACAAACTCAAGGAAGCGACAAGCACTAGCCACTGAATCGGAATACTAATAGAAAAAAAAAAATAGACTTAACAGTGACTGCACCAAAGAGCCAGAATCGTCTGAGGATTCCCTCCTAAGTTGATGTACTATAGGCTACTCTGCCTGGCTGACTGACTGACACTCTCTCTGATTCTCCAGGAAGACAACAAACCGACATCAATATGGTTTCTCTGTTCTGTCTCATGGTAGTTCTGTCTACTGTGGACAGGAACAGCAGCATCTTTCAGCACCGACTGGGAACAAGCCTTTATCATCCATCTTTTACTGGTTCCCACTGTCGCTTCAATGAAGCCTTCCAGTCCTGTGCCTGCAAAGCCCAAACACATGTCCACATGTGTGTATGTGCTTCAAAATGCAGACACTCATATACAAATGAACACCAGCAAAGACAAAGAATGCACAGACGCCCACATAAAGAAAACCTAGGCACTTTTTTTAACATTATCAAATCATATAAAAAAACAAACACACACACACATCTACTGTGGGTTATTTTGCTTCCTCTGTCTCACAGTGCTGGTCACCAATGTCCCGTTAAGGTGCTTACAGAGTGCTTAGGCCAGCATGTGTTGCTCTCTACGCCTCACTAAGCAGCCAGACTGCTCTGATTCCGATCTGGATACTCCACACTGTCCACAAGGCAAGCTAACAACATACTTGTATTATACAAGGTAACATACAGCTGTACAAATACAGTCTGTTTGTTGGACACAGTCAGGAAAGAAGTAAGACTGCACGCCGAAAGGCAATCCAGGTAGAGGAAAGGAGAATGATGAGGAGCAAGATAAAGAAGGGACAGAAATAGACAACAAAAAAGGAACAAATCAACAAAGGGAGAAGGAGAGAAAACAATGAGAGGAAAGAAGAGACTGGGTGAGACAGTGAGACAGAGGGATATCTGTGGATGCTCGGGTGATGACAGATATGTGGGTGGGGATCCTTTTATAGCCATGCCAACTAAAGCAGACAACAGAACAAAAACCCAGGGGACAGAGATGGTTTGTATGGCCCTGTGTGTGTGTGTGTGTGTTTATGCAGTGGTAGTTCTGTTAGGGGACCATGACAGTGCTGGCTGAGTGCCCACATTGACTGCAATCAATGACAGTGGTGCGTCTGTAGAAGAACAAGTGGGTGAATTGCTGAATGATTGAATTCACTCGTGAGCAAAGGAATAACAGCACGTCAGCGCGGACATCTATTGTACTCATCATCAAATAACTAAAAGCAAATTAAAAAGATCCAACTTTAATAAAGTGTTTCTCCATATGTAGCTCATTCGCATCTTTCGCTGTTAGTTTTAAACAAGCCAGTATGAATCCAAAAAGTAGGACAGGTATTGTGCGTGATCACTGAATGGCCAAACGCCTACAGGAGCAAAGAAGATACACGGCAATTTAATTCCGTGCGTTGACATTCCTGTCCAAACAATTCCTGTTTGTGAGTGAATGCAAACAAAGAAAAGTTTGGTTGTCAGTAGAAAGTAAGGTTTTGTTTCTCATGAAGAGTTGCGAAGGGGATCAACAAAAAGAAATAGTGCCAAAAAAACCCAACAACAACAACATTTCAATCAAAACAAGAGTTTTCACTGTGAAGAGCTGCCAGCCGGGAGAAATGGGGGCTCATGCATCACAGGTTCAATTCCAGCTCGCAGGTGACAGGCCCGCCTGATGTTACACCCTTGGCTCCCCACTCACCTCACCTAATAGCACACACGCAAAAGCACCCACACAGGCGCCAAAACTAGTGGAGGCAAGAGCTAGTTAAAGTAAAAAAAAACAAAAAAAAAAACAAAAAAAAGGAAGAAGAAAAAGAAAACGCAGAGGAGGCGAGGAGAAAGTGGGACGTTAGTAAAATAAAATGAACCAAAATTGGGGGGAAAGTAAAAAGTGAGGTAATGCAGCAAGCACACAAGCAATTTGGTACACGAGCGGGGAACTTAAAGGGAACATCGACAAGAGAAGCGGCGGGTAAAGACCCAGCACTGCTCAAAGGCTGCTCCACCCTCGCTCCTCTCCTTTCCCAAATGTTGACAGTACAAGTGCAAAACAGGCTTTGAAGTGTGCTCCGCTGAAGGGGAGCGTGTACCATGCACAGTGCTTCGTTTAACCGTGTTACCCACAAAGCATCCCAGGACCTGCTCTTCCCTCACTGCCTCTCATGTTCTCTCACCCCCTTTCACACTGAACCTTTGACAGTGTTTTGATGTTGCCAGTGTGGGCAGACAGACAAGGCGAAACCAAGGTGGCTGATAGTGAGCAAAAAAAACCCAAAAAAAAGGTGGGGGGGGGGGGAAAAAACGCAAATAGGCGAGTAAATAAATTGATTCAAAAAAACCTGAGCGAGCTATATTTTAACGACACTATGTCATTCTCCCTTTCAGTCCTTTTTCGCGCAAAGCACGAAACTCGCCGGGTTTCATCTCGTGTGACACCTAAACGAGCATAAGGGTTATTAAATGTTTCCAGGGAAGCACTGCTGTGTACAGTTCAGACATCTGCAGATTGGAAGATTCAGCAATCGTGTCTATTGTTGTGTTGGAGAAAAGGCATTCCAAGGTGACGTAAATCAGTAAGTGAGGGGAAAAAAAGTAAGGAAAACTTTTGCCTGTTAGCTGTTGTGACAAGACGCAGACTGAATAGTGACTAATTGCCCTCTTGCAATGAAATGTTTAAACCTCTTGCAAAAGTGGGAAGGGCACAGCGAAGGAGAGAGAGACCTCTAGTAGATGTGAGTGATGGCATTTGGCACCGTTTCAGCCTTTAACTATCCTGCCTTTGTCCCCTGCACGTCCGATGAGGTTTCATCCCCAACATAAATGTTGTCTAAAAATATTAACCCGACTGCCCGCTGTTCATTAGCCGCTAAATTGGAATTCATGCTTATTTTTGTATTGGGGATTTGATCCAGCTCCTTTACACCGATCATAAAGGGCCACTTGGCATGCTAATTGCCTTGCCCCCCATTTACGCACTCCCTGGCTCGCATGGCTAATGGTGTCGTAAAACATACTAGTGCGCTGACACCTCCCAAACACCAGGTAGGGAATACTTGGCGCTATTAAGGTCCTGAGCATGGCCTCGTTTAAGAGGGTATGAAGGATTCCCCGGTATCATCCGTTATCACCAGCGAAAGATCCAAACCAGACACAAGAAACTGTAATCCAAAGAGAGACGGTTGCTCCTTTAAACACACGTGTGCTAAACATCATGCCAGCCTTTAACATGGGTGCTCACAGAGAGAGATAATGATTTAAGTAAACTGTTGAAGTGGTAAAAAGAAACTGCAGCTCCCAGGCTCCGCTGGTGATTTAGCTTTTACAGGGTGTCTGGCAAAGCTGTTAGGGGCCTAGTATCAGTATTTTGAGAGGCTTCCTTTGGTAAAGTGCCTTCCATTCACTGTACGAATGCTGACAAACAAATGTTACTGCAAAGTCATTTCCGTGCTACGCACAATATAAAGAAAAATTAAAAATTAGGGAAGACTAAGGCTATGTCCCACAGCTTCTGCCTTGCTCTATTGTATAGCCTCAGTATATGCAGTGTATGAACTGTGGACCAGTGTGGCTGCCCTTTGTATAGAAAGTCATTAGAACCTCATCAGTTCTGGCAGCACTGAAGCACCTTCAAATGATGCGGAACAGTACACTGAAATACCCCAACCCACCTAACATGCACAACGGCTGGGAAAACTGTGTGTGAGAGTGTGTGTGTGTGTGTGTGTGTGTGTGTGATTATATATGTGTGTGAGGTCACACTGAGGCCCAGAAATAGTATTCATTAGTCATCCAGGATGTCAAGCATAGTGGGCCCCTGCACCAGTACTACTGGGTGCCATAGACACGTGCCCGTGAGGGGACACTCCATTTAGACCCCAGCACCTCTGTGCATCATTTGAAAGCCTCAAGGGCTCAATCCCCACAGACGTCTTTGACCCAGCGAGACGGGGGCAGGCAATGAGGTGAACCCACCACCGGAGGCAGCGACCGGACGCACTGCAGAGCAGAACGTTCCGGTCTGTTTTTAGCCAATGACCGCAGAGCAGGGTGCCTTCTCAGAAAACTAATTTTTCCGTGACCATCACAGGTTTGACTAGCTGAATTTCACTGACCTGTTCCTATTTGCAGAAATAAACATTGGCACTGGCTTAACGGGCACGTAAAACAAAGTTTTACTCTTGCTTTCTGCCCTCATTGCCCCTCATGCTTTTCTATTTTTGCCTTCATCTTTTCTCTAATTTTACCCTTCTCACCCCTTCATTCACCCTCGTTGCTCTCAGCGCCTCCAAACTCTCAGTGAAACCTGGCAACAATTACCATTCCAACAGCTGCAGCAATAACCATTACAGTAGCACTTACAGTATTACTTATACAGTAGGCACAACTCCAGCAGCATGGGCACCAGACCAGAGCACTGTGTCTACCCCCTCTTTCCCTAGCCAGCAGGCCCTCATTAGGGGCCTTGTAAAGGCCTCATACCTGCCAGGCAAGGGCCCCTTCACCCTTCAACTCCTCCAGGCTCCAGGTGTGTAAGGTGGCTGCACTTCACCAGAGGGGACAGCTTGGGCTCATTTAACTCGATGGCTACTTGCCCTGTGCCTGCTGCTGCAGCAGGCCCCTGTAAACTACAAAACTGTAAAACTGCACGGGGGCAGAGAGGGGGAGTGGGGTACAGGGGGCTGGCAGGGGTGCGTAGGGGAGCAAGGATTATGACCCCGTAAAGATGAAAGAAGTTGCGGGCAACAAGCGATCAAAGAGGAAGTGTGTCAGCAATGATATGGCAGGGAATTGGTCATATCAGAGGCCCCAGGTCGTTCAGTCTCAGCCTCCATCTGTGTGCGTTTGTGTGTGCGTACTGAACTCAGCTCAGCGGGGCCTAACAGCCACAATGGAAACCATTGGTGCTGGATAACACAACAACTTTCACAAGCTGCCGCTTAATTGCAGTTTAAACTGCACTAGGTCCTGGGCAGCACAGCATGTTACTGTTAGCATAGACACACACACACACACGCACACACACCTATATTTTACCTGAGAAAGCATCTGTAGTCATCAGCCACAAAGTTAATCTGATCTCACGGTTAATGTAGAAGCAAAACCGCATGGGGCTGGTTAAGTCTTGGTTTACACTCTGTTTCAATTACTAGCAAAGCTGTGAGACAGCATCTAACTGTAATTGTGTGTGAGTGTATGTGTATGGAGTCAATCAACCTAGTTATATGCTGGCCACTAAACTCACTTAACCTTGTTATCTTACTACACAGCTCCAGCCATGTATGTGGAAATTGAATTAGACTTGGAAGCTTTTAATAGGAAAACACAGAAACAGCTTTGAAACAATTAGATTAGATGTCTGTATGGCTAAAACAATGAATAGTCATTTCAGCCTACATGAAAGCACAACAGTGAGGAGTCAGAGACCGCGAGAAAGAGGGGGAAAGAAAACAGAGGAGACAGAGGAGATAATAAAAGAAGCCCTAGCCCTTGTCCAAGCCCGGAACTGACAGATGATGATAGTCATCTCAAAAAAGATATAAAAAATGAAACATATAAAATTTCACCCACCACTTGTACATCTGAGGGCACTCTGGACAGAAAGTCTAGCAGCTCGTTGTTATCAATGGTGTAGGGATCTCGTAGCTTCTTTGTAAATTTATTCACTCCTGCAGAGAGAAAAGTGGGGGCAGACGGGTAAGAATTGAAAGAAGGAAAGACGGAGACATCTTTATATTTGTTGTACTGTCTCTGTGTGCTCACACAAAAAATATCATGGCACACAGATTTATTTAGCTAGAGTATCTGAATGTTCTTATATACTATATGATGTAATAAAAAATACAACATTAGCTCACCCCAGGCCAGCACAATGTATCGGAGAGGGATGAAATAGAGGATGATGGTGGCCACTCCGAGAGCCACGATAGCTAACCAACTTAAGAAAGGCACAGTCCAGTTAAATGTGCTGCAAAGAGAGGAGATGGAGAGTAATATAAGCAGCAATGCTTACTCCAGATATAATAAAAACATGCTGAGAAATAATGTAGGAATGAGTCAGCAAAGTTTAACAGGTTGCAGGGAGAACATTTTACACATTGAATACATTGAATTCATTAGAGTGTGAATGTTAGAAAGCACTTAGATGTAGAAAAGCACTTTTTTAGAAATAGTTCTTTTCCTTGTATCTTCAACTATAACTTTTAAGGAAACAAAACTTTCTGTGTATGAACCGTATGTTAAAAAAAAGGCTGTCAGTACATACAGGGATGTAAAAAATGAATAAATAAATGCTTTTGTGTAAGTGCATGCAGTGTATTTAATCTAATATCTGCATGACAAAAGGTAATGCAAGGTCAAGTAAGATATGGTGGACATAAAGACAAGCAGTCTTTCTATTTGTTCCCCAGGGTTGGGTGTCACACTGGCATTAATTCTTGAGAGCGGCACTAAGTTATACTCAGTTATGCTGGCAAAGGGAACCGGCCAGAGTGGCAGAAAAAAAAGAAAAAACAACCAAAACAACAACACAGGGACGTGCGGAGCAGAGCAGAGCGGGCCGGGTGCCGAGGAGCAGGCTTACGACTCACTTCTTTATCCTCTCGCCATAGGAGGCCACTTCATCTAGCGCATTCTGCACACTGATGCACACGTCCTGAATGGCATAAAGCTTGTTCATGAAGCCCTTTCTTTCTGAGTCCTGCAAGAGGACAGATAGAGATGTAGGCGAGAGACAGAGAGAAAGAGAGGATGAGGGAGGAAGACGTGGAGGGAAACAGAGAAGAGACAGGAGGAGAGAGAGAAGAGAGAGGCTGGGCACAGGCGTCTTTGTGAAAACAATACATTTTAAATAGCGTCAAAGATTTGGAGTGGGGAGCCAAATCACCGGATATCCTGCATAAAGTGACAGAGTGCTTTCATTCCAGGCAGTAATAGAGATATAAAGTTGGCAGAACAAATCAAAATGTTTTCCTCCTTACGAATCCTCACACAGGCAAAATTTGAATATGTGAATAGGCAGAGAGAGAAGCAGAATTAAACTGAAAGCCGAATGGATAGATCAATCTTTGGGCTCGCTCTCTCTCTCTGCTGCTGCTGCCAACACAGCTTGGAAGACCAGGCAGAGCTCTCTTTTGTCCTCCTGGCTGGCACAGTGTGATGATGTCACCAGCCGTGACATCATTATCATCCTTATTAACACTGTCACTCACCACCAAGACTTCAGAGTGGGAGGGGTCAGGGGGAGTCACAAAATAGGCAGGCAATCTGAAGCCGACAACCCCTGCCCTTCTTACCGAAACAAAGTGAAGAATTTAAAAAGTCATGCAACAGTCAACGAGCTGCTGACTGACAGGCAGGGGCACGACGGATCTGGACAAAATGAGGTGACAGAGAGCAATTAAACGCCATTGGCTGAGTGAGGACATCGACACGCAGACTGGTTGTTGCAATATGTGAATGGTGGACATGCTCGGAAGACAAAAGGGTAGAAAAGAACTATCCAGGAGAAAGTCATACGAGTATTATGTGCACTATCGTGGGTGACCTGTTCATAATGTGGCAGGAGGAGGTGATTTTTAAACAAATTGGTGAAGGAGGAGAAGGCTGTAATTACAGGATGATCATGTGAAAGTTCTCTACCACATCAATGGTGTAAACACCTGTAATAGAAGAAAATAAATTACAGATGCCAAAAACAGTGAGATAAGAAATGGTTTGAATGGAATAAGCTGAAGAAAGTAAATATTTCACACAGTAAAACAAAAAAAAAAACCCTCAAATCTTAATCAAGAAAAGTTTCCCCAAAACCAAAAGATGATGATATAACCACACATGCCTAGTATTTCTCTCTGTGTGTAGGAAAGACTATGTTACTGATGAAGATTGATGGACGTTGCTAGATTAGAGAAGTAAAGCTCTAAGTAATTATAACTACCATCGCCAAAGAAGACAGTGAAGCAGTCAAAGACCTGAAACCTTCAGGACCTCAAAGGCCTTTACCACATTTCCATCTTGAGGCCAGCCACCTCACCACAACCCTCCCACTGAGACCCAAACTGCCCCCCAAACCCACCCTCGTCTTTTTGCTCTCCGTCCAGGATCAGATAATGTGAAAAATGAACCATGGAGCAGTCAGGGAGACCACATGGCCTCCCCAGCAAAACCACACAAGACAAATAGATATAATTAGACAGCGTCTCTGGGTTATTTTTCTTCGCAAATATTTTACAAGACTCCCTTTCTTTCCTCCTCCCGCTGTCCTCCTCTTCTAAGGCCTTTCCTCAAAGTCCATCTGTTTTTCATTGCCGAGTCAAACAAATCTCAGAACGCAGGGTCTATTGTGCTGGGCTTGGTGAGGCCGAGCCGAGCCAGGCTGGGCCGGGTCAGGACGTTTTATTTTCGGTCCTGGGCTCAGGGGAGAGTGTTTGAGGGCCACAGGAGTGGTGTGAGAGACCGGGCGGGGGTGGAGAGGATAAGTCAGAGGTCATTTGAGTATAAACCATTGCCACATGCCCTTCGGACTGCGGTCTGACTCCTATTTCCTGTCTTCAAACACGGCTTGGGGAGGTGGGAGGTAGCAATAACACCGAGGGCCACGGAGAACCTTGTTTTCCCAGCTTCCCTGCACACTGCGCACATATGGAGTCAGGCAACCTGTTCTTATAATGGAACCTAATATGCACACAAACACACACACCCTACAGCTATTAGATAAGGTTGATCTGCACACCTGGTCTTGCTGCGTGACTCTACAAACAATATCCCAACAGAGATTAGATGATAGGGGTCCTTGATTTCAAAAGGCGGTTTCTTTTTCTACTGAGCATGTTCGCACTACAGTGTCATGACTAATAGAGAAAGTACTCATATCAAAATAAAATCTGCGCTCCTCAAGAGCAGATCCATTACAAGTTTTTTAAATAAAAGACTTGTTTTTCATGCTTTGGGCACACGTAGTTTGCAAGAACCGTGTGTTTCAATTAGCTCACATGTGGTAAGTAATTAGAACATGGTTTTTCCACTCTTGCCCAGCTTCTTGTCTCACTTAGGAGGAGCGAGTGCTTTACAGGAGTCTTAGGGCCTGTATTTCCATCTGTGTCTTCCTGTTTCTGTCAGGGAGACTAAGTGGGTTTGTTTGGAGAAGTGAAGGCAAGGCTAGTAAAATCGACTCTGGCTAGGCCTCTCTCTGATTTAGCTTGGCCACAGATGCAAGCCATTTTAATGCTCAAAGCATGCTACAAATCCCAACACCTACAGCAACCCGGTCGTGATGGATGATGCCGCTTGGCTTGAATCAGCCAGGCAACATCATGAACTTGCCTAATGTGTTTAGCATCATTAGTTTTAAACACTCCAGCTTCATCTATACACAATCGATAGACAGACAGACAGACAGACAGACAGAAAAGTCAGCAGAATATTCTACTACTGTGCATTAGAAGCTCCATAAAGACAGTTGGTGAATGAGATGCTTCCTTATGCAGAAGGAATTACCTGACATCAATTAACTATCATCAGGTCGGTAGCTGAAATATTTAGTGAGTTGGTGTCCTTTGTTGGGTGAGAGTTGCATGTTTTAATGGCATGGATGCCATTTAAAGAAAATAAATGCATCCCTATGTCCAAGGTTTGCATCATTGTTTGGATGTGTGAAGTGCGGTATGAAATCTCAGCCTTTATTGCCCAGCAGCCGAACAGCAATAAAGGCTCGTTAAAAGTGATGTGAGTTGTTTATATGTGTTAAGGAAAAATAACCCCTCAGTGATACCAGAGAGAGCCCAGGGACACTCTCACACACACACACAGTCAAAGAAACAGCCAAGTCAGGCTAACCACATTGCACTTGCTGGTAAATTGTGGTAAACAAATGTGGTAAACTCCTTGAAAACTAACTTAAATATTTAACAAAGGGAAGATGCACAAAGCCCGGGCGCACTCGACTGTTCCATTTCTCTCTCAGAAAGACACCACCATCACACCAAAGTACATCTATATGCAAAAGTGCAAAGTGAGCAGTTGTAAACTTTACAAAGACAGTTTGTTCTTCACTGACCCAAGGCCTAGAGCTAAACAAGAGAGAGGTCACTGAGGACTTAGCCTATTAGGTTGGACTCAAATATCTGTCCTATATCTACTTGGTGGAAAAGAGAGAGCCATTGGAGACTATTTTAACCTCTGATCACACTGTTCTCCCTGCTGATTTACGCCATAAAAATGATAAACCTAACCGTTATAATGTAGCGGCATATATCCCATCAAACTGCAAAATGAGTCTGAACCACAAGCGGCTGCAGCTCATTGCCGCTGTGCTAAAATTGCACCTGTTTTTCTTTGTTTTTCCTTTTTTTTGCCCCTCTCACTCTGGCAGCACAGTAAAAATTGAAATGTCATATAAAATGTGACAGGATGCTAATATGTGGCTCCCAGAGGGCATCTGAAAGCGTTCTTGTTGATTTTGTAACTGCAGAGAGAGACGACATCCCTCCCATTTCCACCCCAGGAAAAAAAACAACAACAAAAAAAAAACCCACTGAAAAGTTGAACAACTTGAGGAATGCTAGAGGGTGACACGAATTCAATTTCCAAAGCCTGCGAAAGAACTAGCAATGACACGATAATAAATAGTGCATATGATTAGCATCTACTGTATATTTAAATTAGGTGTGTCGCTACTGAACAAAAAAGAAAACAATGATTTTGTGTTGATAAAGATGTTATTTGGGCGTGCATTTTTTTTTAATTAGTGGAAATAAAGAAAATGATTGATGAAAGTGCATGTCACTGGAAGGAGAGCAGGCCTTTATTAGTTCATTTGCATTCACCCATGGCATACTGTTCTCTCTAGTGGCGATGTGTCGAGCACTGTACACGAACCACAAGTCGAAACAGAGCACTATAGAGACAGCTTACCCGAAAATGAAAAAGCAGGAAAACATAGAGAACATAGAAAAGATAAGCTTCCAAAATTGTATTTTATCTAAATATAAACTCCAATTTTCACTGCTGAATTTCTGTTAATCAACACCTTCCCCTTGTTTCTAGTTTTTAAGATTAAATCTGTTTGTGAGCTAAGCATTTTTGTGGTTTATTTTTCCCATTTTCATGTGTTCATTAGCATTTTAAGAGTAATAAAAATATCAAATGAAGCATGGAACCCATTTTTCTTATGTTGGCCATTTAAATAGTTCAGCTGCTCTAAAGCTATTGTGTTACCGAGGTCTATTCCAAGTAATACCAACTCCACTGGGGACAAGATGAGTCACAGATTTTACCAATTGGGAGTTAAGAAAGGCCCCCTGGGGAATAAAAAAAGAAGAAAAAAAAGGACCCAGTGGCCTAGAATACCATCTCTTTTCTGTTAGGAAATGACAACAGGACAAGACAAAGACCCTGTGAATGGCCTCAGATACCACCCTGCAACCTGGCACCTCGCCAGCGCCACATGAAAGGGGCAGATGTTCGATTTTTTTTTTTTTTTTTTAAGCGGTGGGTACCATTTTAATAAATAATTTATCCCATATAACAGCTAATCCATGGGCAAATGGGTGAGGGGGATACATTTTTTTCCATCTTGACCTCTCTTTCTCTCTTTTTTTAAACATAATACGGAAATATTTGTGTTACTGTGCTGTTGAGATGCACAGCACGTCCAGTAAAGATGAGAAGGGGCATCCTGAATCCTGCTCCTATAGGCCGGAGCAGAAAGACTGTATATGTATTTTCCTGCATTCACATGATGTGCTGCATTGCTCGTTTGAGAGAACCTGTGTGTGCCGAGGGTTGCTTCAACACAGTCAAAGACAAGCTCCAGTTAAGTCTGTCAGCTGAAGGTGGCCCGCGCACGCACAATGCTCTCTAGCGCTAATTAGTCTCTTCACCCAGCCAAGTCCCATTGCGGGGATAAGTTTACACATACTGTATATAAAAGAGAGCGTTAGGGGGGAACGAGAGTAGCGAGTTTTTAAAGGAGGCGGCGCTAATATATTTTCAGTTTGACCTCTGCTTCCTGTCCTAAAGAGAAAGGTTTCTGGCGTTATGAGTGTGAGTTTGTGTGCGTGTCTCTAATGTGTCTGGTTGGCAGGAGGTTGTTTGCCACTGATCATCTTTACCCATATCCCCGTGGGGCCTCTCATCACCTCCACCACACCAGCCACTCTATCAAGGCTCAAGGTCAGGTGCGTACACAAAAACATAAATGACTACTACCTCTCAACTTCTGCTCTTGATCACTTGATCACCTTCTCCTGGCCTCCCGCTGCATGCCACGCCCTGAACCGCCATCCTACCTCACCTCTGCTCCCCCTGCTCCTGCACTCTCCTTCCCCTGTCCTTCCCAGGAAGCAGCCTGGCGGAGTGTGATGAATGGGACGACATTAGTCTTGTCCTCTGTTGGCCTGGTTTAGCTGCTCCAGCCCATCTCCCCTCGTCCGTCAGTCTGTCAGTCTGTCTAAGTGCGTCTGTTTGTCTAAGTCTCTCTATCCGGGTTGGCTTAAAACACACAGCATCCCACTGTACTGTCAAATGCCTAAAAGATGAGAGTACATGTCAGCTTTCATATTTTTAAAATCAGGGAAACATACAAAACTCAAAGACACGCGTGTCACATTTTTAACTACTCTCATTAATGACATCATATTTTAATCTTGCTGGGGTGAAATTGCACCTCAATCTGTAAAACCTGCTAACCTTGGCATGTTTTTAATTATACATTCATGTTCAGACACACAGGAGATAGAAAAAGCTGTAAAATCTACTGTCTTAAACTTTGTTTTGGAAAGGGGAAAAAAAAAAACAACAGAACGAGAGTGCATTGCTATGAAGTGAAGGGATCACATCTTCAAAAAAGTAAATAAAATATGCATCCTCTCTGTGCTCATTACAGATTTATGACTCTTGTTAAAAGAAAAGGTGGCGGCTGCCTTCTTACATGTCTGACTTTCAAATTCAGACGACACTGCTGTCAAGTGTTGTGCTCCACATTCTGTCCAATGAGAGACCGAGAGGGCTGAGTGTGTGCCATCTCCAACATCCTATTCGGCGAGAGTCTCGATAAGAGTTACTTTGGGTGGATAAGAACACGCAAGAACTCCTCACCTACAGTGCAAGGAGCTGCTCGTTGTAATCCTTTGATGCATAGTTCATCAATCAAAAAGTTCAGTTGGTTCAGCCACTTGTGTGTATGCGATTCAGAACAATAACAGTTGGGGGGAGTAGTCATTGTTGCATTAGGCATAATGAGCATTGGGATTTTCTTCAGCAATATGTGACAATTTTGCAGTTCCTGTAGCAACTTTAAAGCAAAAGCGCTGAGAAAAACATTTAAATCACCGCACCAGCCACCGCACACCCATGCACACACACTCAGGGAACTGAAACTCACTCGAAAATGAGTTTGTTAGCTGTCTATTATCAGTGACTTAGGGGGTCATAAGGTGTGAAAGTAGTCCTTATGTGTGAGTGAGTCCTAATTAGTACTTTCAAAGAAGCTTGAATCTAAAAGCTTACTTTTTGGCACGCCAAAAAAAAAAAACCCAAAAAAACTACACCAACCTAGAAGAACATTTTATTCCCTTGTGCTCCCTGTTTCTGTGCAAACTGTATCAAAAATAAATAAGCACAAAAGCACTTGAGTGACTCCCATGTCACCTTTTATTGCCCCAGAACCAAAAGCCCCACCAGCGAAACACACCGTCACACCTCAGTCTACACATTTCACCTCAATGTTTAACAAGTCTACAATGCCACAGGGAAGTCAAAGACAAAGACAGGGGCCGCTTTCCATGCTGGAGCTCAGTAGCTTCCCCCATTACCTTAAAAAGCAGGCACAGGCAGAACCCTTGCAGTGGGTTTGGATTTGAGGGTCAAACGTGCAGTGTGTGTGGGTGTTAATCGAGACGCGGACATGGGGGACAGGTACTGTACACAAACCCTGACAGGACGGCACACAGAGGCCGCTGGACAGACGATGAGCTAAAAAAGGGAACTGGGAGACAGCAACAAACACCATCGGGAGTCGGTGCCAGAACCACACACAGATCAACTTACCACCATTGCTCGTATCCATTCAAAGTGCCAGGAAGCCAACATATCCTCGAGGATATGGTTTTTATCACGGCTGTCCTCCCAGGGGCCTGGTTTAGGGTCCTTGTGGATAGATTACAGTGAGATGTTCTCTTTACAACCCACAGAAATTAAAGTCAAAAGGTTTAGAAAATGTGGATGTTTTGCAGCTGTGGTCTTATACATTTATATCACCCTGTGCAGGAAAGAAAACAGCAAAAGCACTGCAATCAAAACAGCTTCAGCCTTGCAATGCAGAAAAGATTCTTTTTTTCAGTGCTCATCTTTATTTAAACTTTGAAACAACAGCATTGGGTAGTAAAATTCAAACTAAATATGCATCTCCCTGAGTCCACTGGACTATTGCATATCTATCAGGATGAGCGCCCGTGTCCGCAATCTCTACGAAGACCGTGGTCACTGCACTGTAGCGCATAAGAATAGTGCCGAAAGCAAAGAAAAAAAAAACAAACCAACAAAAAAAAGAAAAGACCCATGGTGCAAAAAATTACCAATTTTCATTTGAACCAGGCTAGAAAGACTGAGAATGAAGGAGTGATGATAGAAAGCGAAAGACAAAGCAAGAGATATGCATCTGGGGGGAATAGAGATAGTGAGAGATGATCCACCTGATGTATGTGTGTGACAAAGAGGGAAAACAAACAAACAATGCAGTGTGTTTTGCATAGACAGACAATACTCCTCTCTGCCTCTTTCACCCTCCTTTTTGTTTTCATTCCTGCCTCTATTAGCAAAACATGATTAAAATGCAGTTCCTACCAGCGTCTCTGCTGAACAACGGGGGAGAAAAAAAAAAAAAGACAGTGAGATGGGAAGAAAAATGAAGCGGAAAAGTCAAAAGCATCTTTTACAGCGTGACGCTTTTCATCCTTCACAGGCGGCAAGAAGAAAAGACAGACATTCAAACTTTATTCTCTTCCCTTCTCTCCTGCTCTGTCTCTTTCACCCATTCTCCTCAGCAGCTGAACCCCCCCGATACCTGCATCTCAAGCTCAATAGCCTCCCCAGAACAACATTTCAGTCACACTTTTTCCCCCTCTTCCAGAGCATTGATATAATTCCCAGTGCGCTCTTTAGTCCAATTACATTATGCCATGCCGTTATCTGAGTGATCGGCACAGTGCCGTGACTGGGGCTAAGAGAGGAGTGCGGTGGCTTAGGGAGGTGCTACAGAAGCTCTATGTGCTATCTGGAGACAAGTCGTGGAAACAGCGCTGCATGTGCCCTATTTAACTTTTCATGGAGCGCTCGCTTAATAGTATTGAGTGGAGAGAAAAAAACGGAGAAAAGTTGTGGAGAGAAAGACGACAGTCAGCCACATTTGAAAAGAAACAGAGATTCTGGGTGTTAACATCAACAGCTGAAAGTGGCTGTGAGGCCTGCGCTGGATATGTGTGCTGATACTAGCCATCCATCAGCAGTTATACGCTTGCAGGAGAAGAAGCGATGAACACATACACACACACACACACACACACACGGGCAGGATTGTGTGCGACCATACATGTTCTGTATGTTGCATGAGTCATGCCTGCAGGGACAGCAGCAGAGGGTGAAATGGCTGTCTCAGCACTACAGATGAGTAGGATAAGGAGAAACTCTGTGGCGGTATGAAGAAACAGGGAATTCTATATAACTCATCAATAGCACCTTTAAAATCTACTACTGATGTGTCAGGTTGGATGTACACACATTACATGAGGATATCCTAAATACTAGAACTATATTAAGCCTCTGCCTCAATAGGTTAAAAAAAAACAAAACTAAATTATAGAATAGCCGGTGGGTTACTGTTTGACCCCCAAATCTGATGCCTTGAAGAACTGGGTCTATTAAAAAAAAAACGAAGACAAAACATTCACATTTTTTCAGGTCAATGTTCAAACTAAGTAATAACGTCTGCTCTATATTTACTACGAGGAGAAAAACGAGTCGGAATAATCGAGAAACCAAAAAGATGATTTGGTACATGTGGTATGTCTGTGTACGTGTGTGTGTGTGTATGTGAGCGAGATATTGATAGATAGGCATAGAGGGAGAAAGAGAGAGGGAGTGCACCGAGCAGTAAGCCCGTGAGCAGGACATGATTGCAGTGTGTATCTTATCTGTGTCAGGTCCTCCTGAGGCTAGTGGAGCCTAGCTGAGCGGAGCACAAGCGCTTCAGTGACCAGTCAACCGTGTGAGGGTAATCTCCTCACTCCTTCAGTCTGTCTCTCTCCCATTCACTCTCTCTTTCCATTTTTCCAGTAAGCCCCCCTCTGGGAGGCAGCTGAGCTACACACACACATCCACGTGAGACGTTCACACAAACACATTAACGCACACAAACACTCACACCCGTGCAGAGCCTAAAGGCTACTGGCTCATGCCAGCTCTGGACAGCGAGCCCACAGGTGAGTGGAGACATCACAAGCTACATTATACGCTTAAGCCCCTGCAGCCACATGCTTGTAAATACAGGAATGAGCAGCGTGTTTTTGCTATCTCACACTGCTCAAGCTGTATTTCAAGATGGTGAAAGGGGTCTACAAAGATACTGCAGGATGCAGTTTTAAAAGTGTAAGACAGGTTTAAAAGAAAACCATGGATTTGCTTTGTGTAAAAGGCCACAGATAATTGAGGAAGTCATAGACACTTGGGCCCGGATACCTGTCCATATCATTTAAGAGATTCCTTTTGGCATTTCATAAAAGAAAATCAAAGACGTGATTTTATAATCAACAGCACAAGCTGAGTTAAAGGTTTTTCGATCATAAATTAGACTACAGGACTCTCAAATCGATGAAAAAATGTAGAACTTTCTATCCCTCAAACACTCATCCTTATATGTAGTATAAATAATAATAACCGTAACTGTTAAATCTAGATACGCAATTTCAATAAATGTGTCTCTTACGTTTATGTGTTACATGAGTAATGCACTTCGGGATAAAAAGAAAAAAATTCCATATCAAGGTGAGTGCACACACACACACACACACACACACACACACACACACAC